ACATACATACATACATACATACATACATACATACATACATACATACACACATACATACATACATACATACATACATACATCTGGGTAGGACACCGGCCCCAGGCGAAAAATATTAGCAAGTTCATGGGCTTGGGAGATTCATTAGGCGCAACCTGATATATATATATATATATGTGCGTGTGTCAATACATATTTTATACATACATAATACATATGCACCTCACCACATCATTATATATATTATATATATATATATAGTTGGCAGCGATCGCTGGCGGCAGGGCAGCCGCTGCGCCATGTACCTGCCCAGTGGGCAACATGCAAAGACTGATGCTGCATGCGTGTGTGACAAAAAATGCTGACTCCATCAGCATCTATCTCTTTCTGACTCTCTCTGTTCTTTTCTCTCTCTCTCTCTCTCCCTCTCTGCTTGCTCGCGGTCTTTGTCTTCTGTCTCCCTCTTTCTCTGCCTCTGTTTCCTTTCTTTCTTTTCTGTTCATGTCCTTTCCTTTCTTTCTTTCCTTCCTCTTGTTCTTTCGTTAATTCTGTTTTCTTAGGTACTTTTCTGTTTCTTTACCCTTTCTTGCCTTCTGTCCTTTCTTTCTTGCCTTGTCTGGTCTTTCTTTTCCTTGCTTTCTTTCCAAACCAAACATGCCTTGTCTTTTCTGATCTTTGCCTCTTGCTTTCTGACATCTTCTGTCCCTCTCTCTCTCTCTCTCCCTCTCTCTCTCTGAGAAACGCTCGGTGATCGCGCTGTCACGTGGTTTTCCCCGCGGGCGGTCGAAGCCCATCTCAGAGACGCAGTTTCGCGTGCTCTACCCCACTCCCGCCATCTCGCTCTAAGCTTCGGATCTTCTTAGAAAGATCCCACAAAATGGTGCGAGGACGCCCATCTGCAGCCTGTAAGCTGATCGCCTTCACAGCTTCGGGCCTGCCTCGCGAACGCTTCTTCGGCGCCGCCTTGGGAACAACAAGCTTCTCTGCCCCCACGTGTAGCTGCCATTGCCCCTTAGCAAGTTGCACCAACGCAGTGAAAAAGTCTTTCACCATTTCGCACTCATCAAGATCGGCTGTCTTGGCCTGCAAGGTCAAACGATCATCCAAAGTCGGTGGGGCTGCACCCCTTCAAGGCGCCCAGTCTCCACGAAGGCACACCAGTCTGCCCTGCTAGTGACTGGGAGTCCACAAGCAGCGATCGTGCGTGCAAGCCTGCAGAACTTTGACCTGAGTCAGAGAAGCTGCAGGGGCCGGCAAAAACTTTCAAATGATCTTCCGCGACGTGTGTCTTGATCCGTCCTCGTCACCAACGCAATCTTACAATCATGCAGCTGTCTCCGGCCGCCAGGGCGGAGAGTGCACAACCAAACAGGAAATTACCTTTACTTGTATATGGCCCCCTCTCTCCTATGGAACCACAACGACAAAGAAGAAGTGGGTGGTGGGCTGGAGCTCAAGAATGCAAACACGCCAGCCGCTGTGGCACAAGCCGAGGAAGCCACTGTTACACAACCAAGGAGTGGCATGCCACATGACGAGGTCAAGGCACCCTGCGTGGTTCGATAAGATTTTCTTCCCAATCGCATGCCCTCGCTCAACGTTTCCTGTGCCATCCTCGACGCTGAGGTAGAAGGAGATGAGTGAATGCCACAACTTGCTGCCTCGACAACTGTGAGCCTTTCCTGCGCCCACGCATTGCGATTGTCCTCATGCTTGGTGGACACCAATCTGTGCAAAGAGCTCATG